TTTACTGTTCCGAGGTGAGAGGGTGGCAATTTCAACAACTTTTGATGGACCGGGGCTTCAACTGTCGGTACCACAATCTTGCCGAGCCTTCCAAGGCTATTTGAAATGCTCGGCACTTCATAGCGTCGCTTGCGGCTAGGAAATCCATCTTCCCCTCGAACACCTCTACGTAGGAGATCGGATCTCCAGATCCGTCGTAAGAATTCATGACTGGAGCCTTGAACCTCGGTGGGATAGGCGCATTCAGGATCGCTCGGGAGAAAGGCGGTTCCTCTTGCTCGGCCACGCGATACGGATCCACGGGCCTGCACTGTTGCTTGAGATCTTCTATCTCCCTCTGAAACTGATCCCGGAGGAGGTCCACTTCAGACTGGAACGAATGGTCAGCGTAGGAGGACCTCTCTTGAACGTCGACCACTAGGCTTTCCTCCTCATCGTCAATCGAATACTCCCGATCTCCGGGTGCCACTACTCGTCGCCTCGGCGTCTCGGCACCTCGGCCCTGATGGGCGTTGGAGTTATCGAAAGATGCCAAGGGAGTCCGAATTGGTCTGATCCTTGATTACGCTTGTTTACATGCGTAAAAAGAAGGTTTTAGATTCTGTTTTTAGATTTTTCTCGATCGTTTGAGTTCCAATTCATGCAAAATTCATATATTATGGTTTGTGGTTGGCTTATATTGTATTTATGACATTTTAGGACCATTTGGGAGTGCAAATTAATCAAAAGAAGCAAAAAGACGGAAAAACCTTCATGGGAGGCGCCAGGCGCCTGCGTGCCTGCAGAAAAACTGGTTTTCTTCCAACTTTGCCCTTAATGAAACGCGTCTTCCAATGCGTTTTGGTGGTTCCAACCGATGCATACGTGTAGAAGAAGTGTTCCACTATCAGTTTGAGCACGATTTGGTCAGTCAAAAGAGTTGGAAATGGGTGATCCACCAGCATTTTAGGACCTACCTAACCAAGTCTGCACAGCTATAAATTCCAGCAGCTTTCTCCACCAAATTCATCAAGCCTTGCTTCCTTCTCTTGATCATTCTTAGTGTTTCTTTGTTGCTTTCTAAGTACTTTTGAGTTGCTTTCATTAGTTGCTTTTGATTTTTAAATCCCGAGTACTTTACATTCCTTTATTGAGCTTTGTTTTGTTTTCGTTTTGTACTTGGTTATTTTCTACCTATTCAAATATATAAAAATCCAGCACTTAGCTTATCTTTACTTTGCCTTTACTTTATTTTTAATTAAGAGAGTTGTGTTTTTGGAGGAAAGAGCACGTGACACTCCCCATTGCTTGAAAGAGAAGGGCGAAGCTATCAATCCCGAGCAAAACTCTCCGTTAGTTAACTTTTGTTTTTCACACATGCATTTCAATTTCAACCATTTTACTTGCTGTATTTTCTTCAATATGTCTTTCTAAATTCCCGTCTCTAGCCCGGTTATGGATAGTTAGCCTTTTATTTCTAAAAAGGGTTGCTAAGAAGTAGTGTTTTTGCTTTCCACTCATTGCTCAACATGTTTTCCCAAAGTACTTGAAAGTAGTTCAAACTCCAATTCATTCACTCTTGAAGGGTTACAAACTCTTGGTTTTAAGGTGGAGGAGTTTCATTCTCGGATTTAAAGCATGTTTAATTGTATTTTCAGTTTTAAACATTTCATTTATGTGTTTTAAGTTTTATTTGTGTTAGTGGTGGTTATGGTATTGATGTAGTAGGGAGTTACAACCTTTACAATTCTTTTAGGTTACTTGAAGGGTTGTTTTGGAGGCTATAAATAGCCTAGCTTGTTCCCTTGGAAAA